CGAACCGGTCATTTTGGCTCCTAAGTCCGTTCTTAGACTTAGAACCACCTTCCAACCCCTTGTTCTACATTTATCAATATGTAGAATAATCATAGGGTTCTTCATATTTTCTCAAATGATAATATATTCAAGAAAAAGAGAAGGAAAAGGTAGATGAGTCATTACCTAGCTTTTTCCTCACTTTTAGCACTTTAACTCTCTTCCTTGAGCTTCTTTCTTGTTGAGCTCCCTTCAACAATGGAGAAAGAGAGATGGAGGATATTTTCCTCTTGCTTGGTGTGTGCTGGCCAAGATATGAGGGGGAGAAAGAGGGGAGGATGGCCTTTTTGTCTCATTGAACAAATGAGTGAGGTAAGGGGTCCCTTTGGTGTACCTTTGATATATGCCAAATGCATCTCCTCCACATTTCCTTTGTCAACTCAGCCCCCATTTGATTTGTTCAGAACACAAAAACGTGGGGTGACCACCACTCATGTGGGAGGTCATCCCAACTTGTCCCGAATTGTACATTCGGCCCCCGAAAGTTGTATTTCTCGGACTGTTTTAATTATATTTTATTTTATGGGGCCAAATAAAATATATTACTTACTCTCAATCATAACAGCCCTTTGAAATAATATATATTTCAAAACTTTAATTTAGAATTCTCCGAAATTCATTTTCGGGCTGTTATCTGATAAATTGTTGGTACTGGTAATTGGGCCGCTTTTGACCAACCGGTCAACCCTGGGCCTTTCTATGGACCAAATAAAATATGCACCACCATATAATTATTATCTATACCAAGATGAATAAAATATATGGTTTCGGGATCATCGGGTGGCCCCCGCTCCCGATGTGGGTCCCACATGCAATTTACTATTCACGCGAAAGAAATAATAAAAATTCATTACGTAAATTCATTAACCATTCCATAAGGTTCATTACATTATTTACTTAAAAGTAAATACATTTGGGGACGGTGTTAAATTACAAGTTTAGCTCCTCATTTGGAGACTAAACATGCTAGAAAAATATAAAGAAAATACTATTCTAAGTTGGGCTTAATTATATGGAAGAAGAGATGATTAAAAGTGAAGGAAAAGTGTACTATTTATAGGTATTTTCAACACCTTTGGCCGGATACCCGACCGGGTAAAGTACTATACCCGACCGGGTATCAATCAAAATCAAATATTTGTCCACGATGTTGTGTTTTCAGCACGTCTTTTTTTTCCGGGTCACTTCATACCCGACCGGGTAAAGTACCATACCTGATCGAGTATGTGTGTAATTTCGAAGCAGGTTCCTTTTTCAACTCATACCCGACCGGGTAACAATTATACCCGATCGGGTAAGTCACCAAATCACATTTTTTGCATGATTTCTTGCTCCCTTGCACCTTCCTTTGATCTTGTAAGATATCTTCCATGCTCCTTTGTTATAGACTAATTTATTGAAGCTCAAAATCTTCTAAAACTAATAAATTACAATAAACTAAGAAACATAAAGTATTACAAAAGTGTGTTATTTCCTAAACAACAATAAATAAAACTAGTTAAAATTACAAACATAAACAATAACAATTTTATACTATCACTGAGATTTCGTTTGACTACACTAATCTGAATGCTAGTTACACGACTAGGGAAATTCCTCTGTCCGATGACTATGTGTCACTTTTTTCCAGCAAGTGAGTCTGAGTCTGTGTCTGCACGGAAAGAACAATATGTTTTTGAAAACCCCAAAACTAATGATGTTTACATTCCAAAGAACATTCACAAAATTGTAGACCTTCATAGATCTTTGGAAACAGAAGAGAAGTTTTCAAAACAGAAAAACAACGATTTTTAAATGAGATTTCTATTCTAAAAAATGCCTTAAGTACATACACAACCTCTATTGGTAATTTGTTTAGATTAGACACCGACATTACCAACATTCTCTATTGGTAATTTGTTTAGATTAGACACTAATTGTATTAAGTCTAATCTAAACAATAACGGTTTTCAATTATAGAACACCGCCATGTAAGTGAATGTTAATGTTTGTTGCTCAAAATAGTCTAATCTAAACAAATTACAACTAACTAGAAAAATACATGTTTGCAATGTACATGTGCAATTACTACAACAACACACAATAACAACCAATAAAAATTGAAAACATGTATAATGAAAAATCCACACTATTAAACTGTCTCATGCTTAGTTTCTTTAATAAAATCAAAGTCCTCAAATAGTTAAACAAAAAGGAACAATCGAAAGAAACCAATGATGTTTTAATGAGTTATAAAGAGTTACAAATTGTGAAAGTTATACCCATACACGGTAAACTTTGGCTTCTTGAGTTTAGCTGCCTTCTATGCTTTTCCTGGAGTTTTCCAGGTCTCTTTATTTCTCCATTGGGTTGCTTAAACTAAATCAAGTTCCTTCAAAATAAAATTTCTTCTCATGTCTCTCATTTTGCCTAGGAGTTTTTTTCGATTTTTCATCCTAACTTCTCTTTTCTTTTTCTTTCTCCCTGACTCACTAATTGTTTTTAGCTCTTCTTTTCTTTGATTGTAAATTCGGATTTTCAACGTATCTATCATTTCATTTCTTTTTTGAGTAAAACTCAAGAAGAGAATACAAGTTACATGGTGGGAAATAAGTGATCCCCCTGCTTGATCCTCCCCCTGTCCCTAGAGAAGTATAATGTATACGAGTATAACTATGTTATATATATTTTGGTGCAATGTTTTTCAATAATTTCTTTAACTGACTTCCCGATCAAATTTGGGATCATCAAATTTTTAGCTGAAATCTTGTGAACATAATCTACACTTCATGTAGAACACGATCAGAAAATTTTATCAAAAACTCCACCATGAACCATCTCAAATTGCGACAGACGGATGGCGGTTCCGGTCAGGAATTGAAATCTTGACCGGAAGATTACTCTATATATAGACAAAATCCATTCACTTATAACTCCAACTATACTAATAGTAAACCATATCCCACTACGTACTCTATTGGTTTATTGTCAAGTTCTTCCAACTTCCACATTTTTTTACCCTAGGGGATTGGGGGCTGGGAGGAGCCTAGGGTGGTAAACACCGCTGATACTCCCTTCATGAAATTTCGAACTCGGGACCTCAAGTCTGAAAGAGTGAATCGGCGATAAGCAGAGCTGAACATCTTCCTCTCCAACTTCCACTTATTTGTATACTCCATGACCAACGCGTTCCAAAAATATATTAATAATCCATCACAGATAAAGAGTTGTATGTTTCTTGTCCCATACACCATGTTTTCTTCCCCACGCTTTTTGTGTGTATAATCAACTCCTTAGAATTTTCAACATTCAACATTACATGTACAACATTAGCTAAGTAGTATATGAAGCCAATTTATATGGGGCTATAGACAGACTTTGGCACTCGCTGTTGGGCAAATACAAGAATGACTTCCCTGCGGCTCTTAGTATTGAATATCTTTTGGTTCCTTCATTGTGCCTTCACAATAACAAATGCTGATTTGATAAATCGCCTCCCCGGGCAGCCCTCTGATCTTAACTTCAATCAGTATTCTGGCTATATTGTTACTGATGATTATCATGGAAGAGCTCAATTCTACTATTTCGTTGAAGCTCAATCAAAAAATAAACTTTCGTTCCCTCTCACACTTTGGCTTGGTGGAGGTACGTAAGTTCTATTCACACCCTTTGACAATAATGGGTGTTTGAATCTAGTTCTCAACATTGTTTCTACTCATTCAGACAAACTTCTCAATATAGAAGTGCTCGAGTGAAAATGCAAAAATACTTTGTTTAAAGTCTTCCAAATTACTTCTAGAAGCAATTTTTGAGAAGTTGGGGTCAACTTCAGAAAAATTATTTCTCATCCAACTTCAACTTTTAAAAAAGAAGCAGAAATATAACCAATCCCAAACACTCTCAAGAACTAGAAGGGTTTTCTTAAATATAGTATAAGGCCAGTGGCCGGTCTTTTTAAATATTATACTCCCTCCGTATCTTTAAAATCTTCCCATTTCAAAAGTAGGTAGAATAAGAATAGTGAAAGATGATATGAATTATTGAGGGTATGATAGGAAAATAGTGGAATAATGTGGTGGAATGTAGGATAAATCCAAAAAAAGTAGTTGTAATAGTGTATTATTTTAAGAATTATTGAGGGTATGATGGGAAGATTTAGAAATGGGAAGATTTTTTTGTTACGGACGAAAAAGAAAAGTGGGAAGATTTTTAAGTTACGGAGGGAGTAACTAAATAGAATTCAATGGATAAAATACGACTAAATTAAAGTAAAGTTACAACAAGTACATTGTTATTGTCAATTCTGTGTAATTTTGGACATAAAATAGTCACTGAAGTTAGTATTCCGTATTATATATAGTCATTAAAGTATAAATTCTTACATTCTTGTCCACTACATTTAATAGCATCATATATTTGTCATTGCTTCTAATACGGAGTATCTCTCATTGTTCCCAATATTTTACCTTGAAAATGGAAATATTTTCAAGATAGGAAAGCTCATTTAGCTTATTTTGCCATTTGCCTAGCATTTAGCACACTTTTTTATGTTAAAAGAAAAGCTTATCAATGAGAGAGCCGACGCTCCAAAGGGGAGAAAGCAAAGGAAGCGTATACCGTATAGCCGGTTGTACGGCACACACCGTAGTATCGCTAACATTTTCATATATTAAGTGAAAATGGTGTTTTTCGTTAAATGAGCATCATATTTATTCTATTGAGTATTGAGAGTGTAATAATGAGTATCGTGATATCAGCTTCATAGTTTAAAATTCACTTTGTTTTATTTTTTTTTGTTTTTTTAAAATATCTACAATGAACCTGTATGAATCCAATATGTGATTTAATTTAATATTATACTTTTGAAATATGCATGAATGTGACATTTTAAAATGAGTATCACACCAATATCAAATGGGCATACATAAATTACGAAATGAGCATCGAAAAATTCAAAAAACTCATTTAAAAATCTCGACTATGCTCAACTAATTTTCATTCGTGTATGCTCATCACATCAGTAAAAATACATATATATCTACAATGAAATCGCCGTGCGCGGCCGTAGACTCATTGGAAATCGTCATCTATGTATATATATCTACAATGAAATCACCTGTGACTGGAATCACACGCCAATTGTAGGAATTTGGCAGTCTGTCGCTTGTCGATTGTCGTTGAAGGCTACTCGTGACTCGTTCGAGGTTGAACTCGACGGAAATAACGGGATTGACAGAGATATGTCAAAATTCACAGAGGATTATATTTGACAGGAATATGCCAAGTTCGTACCAAAAACATTTTGACACAAGCTATTTGACACTAAATCAATCATCAACCCTTACCAAATCCGTGTCAATTCCGTATTTTTTGTTGTGTATATTTTTATGGAATATAACAAAGTAAGACAATAAATTAATCACTTGTCCTATAGAAGACAATAAATTAATCACTTGTCCTTGTCGTCGTTGTTGTGACATCTTTTTACGCTACTCGTAAACTCCTTGGCTTTCTTCACGTTCGATTCTTCTTCCTCCATTGTTGCTTGGTGTTTGAGCTTGGATATTAGTTTGTTTACACTCCTATCTCCCTTAGGGTGTAAAAACTCTAATTTTTGAGCTCTTATTTGGCTACTTTGGAGCTCTTTCCCGTTTCAGAAACTCGGGTTACTATTCATGTCCTGAAGGTCAACGCCTGGATCTTCTTCCCCTATGGTTGGAATCTGATTTTGAACTTCAATTGTCCCTCTCCTGACCCTGAGAATCAAGGAATACCCGATTTCATCATCATCAAGCACATTTGGTTTTTGGCCGTACTCTTCTTCTCTACTCGATTCGCTAAGTGAATAGCTCTTAGCTCACCTTTGTTAAGGAATCAAGCTCCATGTGTGTGGGGGTGGCTTATTCCTAGCTTCCCCTACCTTTCTCCTTCAGTATGCCGAGAGGGGGTAAGGCCAAGAAGAAGACTACCCCTGTTCCTACTAAGTCCTCTTCGAGGCTCAAAGCTATAGCCCAAGCTAAGAAGGTGGGTGATGCTGCTTTGGACGAGGTCATTCATAGTGAGGAAGACTCTAGCCGTGGAGATGCCACCTACCAACCTACCAATGATATCTCCTCCTCCTCGAATGAACCAATGGAGAACAAAGGGGAGCATAACGAGGTAAACTCTACTCATATCTCTCAAGATATTGTTGAACCATTTATAGGTGGTGACATGGATAAGGTTGTTACTATTATTGAGGAGGTTGTTGTACCTATTAATGTTCTAATGAGATCTCGACTTCTATAGCTATTCCTATTAATGAGGGTTCTATGGTGGGTGTTGTACCTAATTTTGGTTGCTTTATTGAAGTCTCGGATTCTCTACCTAATACTTTTGGAAATGAGGTTGTTAAACCCAACACTGACACTCATGACCATATTGATCTAAACAAGGGTCCTCTGTTTGACACTCCTTATGCCGTGGCTAGTGAGACCTTGACCCCTACTTCTCATGCCGCGGCATCTCCCATTGATACTCCTATACCTGGTGTGACTCCTATGGTTGATAATCCTACTGTAGTTGGGGGTTTGTCACGTATACTTGGTGAGACTCCTATGGGCTCTACATCCCAAGGGATTGTCACTCTTGAGAAGGAAATCTTGAACCCCCAAACTAAGGAAATCACCAGTTTAGACAATGGTGCTAAGAACCCTTCATCTAAGGCCGCGGGTTTAACCAATGAAAGTTCTAAATCCATTCCTACTAATTGGAATGACACCGTTACCTCCCAACCGTGGGTCTCCCTCTTTAAAGATAATAGGGAGCCCAAGAAGGGTATGAAACTTAGATATACAGAACCGGTTGGCGACTATGTTGATCTCTCGAATAGAACTTTGTCCTCCATGATTGAATTATGGGGGTTTTGTCTTATGGCCTACTTTGATGGGCGCTTTCCCGGGTTCAAATTGATACATGATATGATGAACAAATGGAAGGTTCCTTACTAAGTTAGATCCCATGACAAGGGATGGGTCATATTTAAATTCAAATGCGGGGAAGATAGGACCAATGTCCTCTTGGGTGATTTCCCTTGAAACATCTTTCGGATGATTTCTCCATGGATAGTGATGAATTTCTAAAACTGCCCATTTGGGTCCAATTCCCTCACCTCCCTATGAAAATATGGGAAGAAGACATTATTAATGAAATTGCTTTACGACTAACCCCAATGCCTCCCATCCCTTTACGACTAGCTCAAGCCCTTCTGCGACTCGCAGCAGCCATAACAACCACCGCCCTGCCTCGCCCCATCTCCTCTGGGACTCGCCCAAGCCCCAGCAGCCCCAACAATATAATCACCAGATCTGAAATCGCGCGCGGATGAGATCGATAAGACTATCGAACAAAGACGAGGACTCGCTACGAAGAAGAAGGTAGTGCGCAGGGAAGAAGAAGGGGAATCTCCCTAGCCCCAAATAGTGTGGTGGTGGCGGATTTGCAACAGTGGCGCGGACTCTGGTAGTCGGAGGAGGCGAGGCGGAGGCAGTTGGTGGAGATGAGAACCGGAGGCTTCCTTCCTTGGTGGTCGGTGGAGGTGAGGCGGAGGTGCCGGTTGTGAGGTCAATCTCCGATGGAGAAAACCTCGATCGTTGTTCGTTAGCTGTGAGGTGAGGCGGAGGTTTGTTTGGAGTGGCGGATGTGCTTTATGCAAGGGTGTTCACATGAACACCCAAAAATAAAATAAAAAACAATAGGAATATGTATATCTGAATTAGAGTAATAATTTGTTTAATACTTCACAGTATTTTAAAGATAAATGTGTAATTTGAACACCCAAAATGCAGATACTAGGTCCACCACTATTTGTTTGTTAGAGTTAGGTTTTTATAATGATCACTTTTTTGTCTAATTTTAAAGGATTAAATACATAGATATTACTAAAACACAACCGTTTTCCTAATGTATGACTAACTATGTTTTTGTATGTTTGGTATGACTACATATCATTAAAATCATGGATGCATGGACGGTATAATTAGGGAAATAACAATAATACCCTTATAATTAAATAAGCATATATTGAGAAAGAGAAGAGTTACGGTTTGAGAAACATGCGCCAATAATTATGGAAGTAGATGTTGACTGGTATGCCTAGGCAGTAATTAGAGAACAATAAATAAATGGGCGATAAATTATAACAATAATAGAACATAAATTTACAAATGACAGGAAATATGTAATGATAGTTGAGGACAATAAATAGAATATAGAATATTTATATACGTTGGATGGTAAATCATTGTATTCAATGTATGATCCATGCATAAATGAAATACAGTAAACACAAAAAGGAAGTAAATGTGTAATAGGGCAGTAATTATGCAAGAGGGCAGTAAATGCAGGTCATATATCATACGACCGTCCCACCATGAGCATCATACTCCCACTCCCAAAACGACGTAATTTTGGGCAATTAAAAAAAATTGCGTGAACAGTACACACGTGTACGGTGACTTTTTTTGTCCCAGTAACATGGAGGTGTAACTCGCGTGTAAAGATATGTAACTCACATTATTGATGAATGTAACTCCAGCCCATCCAAAATGTAATTTGTCAAATATTGATTTCAATGTAAACAATGAAAATAGAGTCTAATTGCACAATTGATTTAGGTAAAACATGAATATGTTTTGTTTTTAATGTCATGGCCACAAAAAATAATGTATTAAAAAGGATCATTTTTATTCAATAGCAGGGGTTGATTTTTTGATGTGACTCGTGTTATTATCAATGTAACTCGCGTTGATGGCCAATGTAACTTATGTGTATACAGAATGTAACTTGTTGGAACCAAGCACTCCAGCCTAGCTAGTTGCGAGGTTACCGTGCCTAGTGGGAGGTCTCGAGTTCGAATCTCGCTAAGCACACACAAGGATTTGAAACTCAATGGAGTGAGTTTCAGCCCTGATTACTCCAGGTTCCCCCCAACCCCCCCTCCCCCAGACCCCCCTGGAGTTAAAAAAAAAAGAATGTAACTTGTTGGAAAATTGAACAATGATTTTTTTGTTTGAGATATTATAAACATTGATTTCAATGTAAGCAATGAAAATTTGATCCTAATAGCTTAATTACTTTTTTTTAAATAGTGAATGTGTTTTATTTTTAATATTAGGGAATAAAATGATATAGCAGGGGTTTATTCCGTGGTGTAACTTGCATACATTAATATTGAACTCGTGTACATTAAGATGTAACTTGCGCAGAAGAAGATGTAACTTCATGATATATTATCAAGAGAAAATAACTTTAAATAATACCAACTATCTTCAATGAACCAATAATAATACGTACTTTAGAAATAACTTTTAATAATACCAACTATCTGAATGTGAACCAAAAATAAAATAGAGACACTTTTCTACAAGAAATTCAGCCACTTAAGACATCAAAAACTAAGATCAAATCACCAAATAATTTATATTTGAAACTATGATCACTTATTTGTTATTTTAATATTAGTTTTTGATGAATTGAATAAATGAATTTTTAGTGAAAATTTGCTATATATCACTTTTGATAGATAATCAAATAGTTGGTATTATTTAAAGTTATTTCTCAAGTTGGTGTTATTCTTGGTTCATGGAAGATAGTTAGTATTATTTAAAGTTATTTTCCCTATTATCAAATGTGACATCAAGGATCAAAATAAACAAACTCAATGTCTTAAAACCCTCTAAAAACATATAAACGTGATAAAAAATATTTCTCAGAATAAAAAAAAGTGTATGAATAAGTACTAAGACAGAAACAAAAAGTAACTAATTTATTTTGAAAGGATGAATATTTGATCACAAAATTGTAATACACACATTTCAATGTTCCTAAATTAAAAAAATCATTTGGAAACATGATAGCTTTTGATAATGGAAACATTAAAAGTAAAAAAACGAAAAAGATAAAAAGAAAGAGGGTGGGGGAGTGGGAGTGTGCAACTCGATGGGAAAAACTTTTGGATAAAGACAAAAAAATAGAAAACAAACCATGCAAGCGGGGGGAATGCAAGTGAGCGAGATTTAGTTAGAAAACGGTATAATTTGCCCAGTAAATGTGACTAGGTGGCAATAACTTTAGTTGTACCTAAAATTACAAATACGCAGGTACATACTTGTATTAGGAAGAGAATCGATCGTGGGTTCCAAAAATAAAAAATACAAGCACATACTAATAATTGAGTTTTTTTCCGGATTAATGCTTTTTAATTAAGTATTTACGGAATTAATGTTGAGTTAAAACTATTTACCAATATACTTCTGAGATTAACCTGGATTGGGCAAAGTCGCCAAACCGTTTGGTGATTTATAAGTCGCCAAACCATTTGGCGACTTTGGCTTCCGCTAGTCACTCGCGCAAGAAGAAAGCTACGTACATATTGAGTATGCAGATGGTAGCCAATAGGAACTCATCCAATATTTAAAAATCCCTCTTTTTTTTTTAAATTGTTGTAACTTTTATATTCATAATCTGATTTTCATAAAAGTTATATCAAAATTTATAAATTTTTATTGTCTTTCATATGACACCAATATTCGATATATAAAAATTAAAATTATTTTTAAAATACAATGAGTAGATGTTTTTAGGTTACAAACTTTTTTAGGTAGATCTATGTTCTAAAATTAAGATCTAGGAATTTTTTAGAGCACATTTGATAACGTTGAAATTCACTGAATCGGCTATTTAGGTTGAAATTTGTGAAATTCTGATTGAAGTGGCTGGACTGGCTGACTGAAATTTCGTAGATCTATGAAAAATTATATCTACAATAATATTTATTAATATCATATTTTCAGATTTAATTATATTTTTATGTATTTAATATTGGTGTCATATGAAAGGTAATACTCCATAAAAATATGAATTTTGATATTCTTTTATAAAAATGAAATTATAAATAAAAAATTATAACAATTTAAAAAATATAATATTGGTGTGATATGAAAGATAATAACTCCTTAAAAAAAGATAATGACTATTTTTCATGTAATTTTTTATTTATCTTATTAATAAAAATTATTGTAGATATAAATTTTCATAGATCTACGAAATTTCAGTCAGCCAGTCCATCCACTTCAATCAGAATTTCAACAAATTTCAGTCAGCCAGTCCATCCTAGATCTTAATTTTAGAACATAGATCTACTTAAAAAAGTTGGTAGCCTAAAAACATCTACTCATTGTATTTTAAAAATTATTTTAATTTTTATATATCGAATATTGGTGTCATATGAAAGACAATAAAAATTTATAAATTTTGATATAACTTTTATGAAAATCAGATTATGAATATAAAAGTTACAACAATTTAAAAAAAAGAGGGATTTTTAAATATTGGATGAGTTCCTATTGGCTACCATCTCCATACTCCATATGTACGTAGCTTTCTTCTTGCGCGAGTGACCAGCGGAAGCCAAAGTCGCCAAATGGTTTGGCGACTTATAAGTCGCCAAACAGTTTGGCGACTTATAAGTCGCCAAACAGTTTGGCGACTTTGCCCAACCCAGGTTAATCCCAGCAGTATATTGGTAAATAGTTTTAACCTAACATTAATTCCGTAAATACTTAATTAAAATGCATTAATCCGGAAAAAAACTCCTAATAATTAAGGAAGCGGTTACCATATTAAATTAAGGTAGATTCTATGGTACCCAAAAGGTACCATACCTTTGTCCACATGGACCAATGAGAATGTAGTTGTTGAATTATTTAAATCTAAATTAAAAATGATAATGTGATGTGGTCCAATCAAATGAATGGTAGGTACGGTACCCCCATTTTTTGGAAAGGTACCGGAGTTGTCACCTTAAATTAACTACTTGTTTTTAGGAATATTAATTCATAGACACCCTAATAAATTGGTAACTAGTAGAAGAGACGTGCATATATCACTTAGTCATTTATTGGGAACAAAAATTCTATTGTTACACATTTTTCATACACGCTAGTACACACTCATGTACACAAAAAACCCTACACAAACATGAATGTGTACTAGCGTGTATGAAAGTGTGTACCTCAAGCTTGATTGGGAAAGACATATGGTTTTAGTCATATGGTGGATAATTTTCTCAAATGATCATATTTTTGTCGAGTGGAGGAGTAATATTTATGTAATTGTTTCAAATAATAATGGTCGTGTATATATAGTTAGGTTGATTTAAAATGCATGGGTAATAATGAAGACGGCATTTTTGCAGCATACGGGTGTTCATCTTTTGGTGTCGGCGTTTTTGCGGAAAATGGTCCATTTAGGCCCGGGAAAGATGGCAACTTGACAAAGAATGATTTTTCTTGGAATTTAGGTACGTACGTACTTTGAATTTCTCTATCAATATATATATCGATCTCTGGATTCTAAATTATTCTTCTCGCTCGTCCCTAAGCTAGCCTTTTAATTAATTTGGACGCCATATTTAATTAGTTATTTAATACTCCATGCACTTAATTACTGGGAACTACCGGCCTGCAGCGTCCAATATGCTCTACGTAGACTCTCCCATTGGGACCTCATTTTCCTACTCCAATTCAACTTCAGACTATAAACACTGGACTGATACCAACACAGGTCCGTAATCATATCGATTGGTTACGTTACAAAGTCATTAACATTGGTTCACGTCAAATATATACTGTATGCATGGCTAGCTAATTACTTTACCATTTGACCTGGCCTCTTGCATGCATGCAGCAAATGAAAATATGAAATTCCTTCTTAAGTGGTTTGAGAAATTCCCTGAATACAGCAATCTAGATTTCTATATTGCGGGTGATAGCTATGGAGGTAATTCAATTAATTAAACAATCAATATATGTATATATTATACTAGTATACTGTATATACTACGTATAATATATGATAGTTTATTTAAACTTGTTTTATGTAAAACATGCTTGCATGGCATGTTAGTTTATTCATGTTCGTAGAATTACATAAAATAAAGTAGCTAGAATATTAATAGGAGGTAGTTAGAGTTTTCTTTTGACTTGGTAAATAAGAGGTGTGGGTGTGCACCTTCTTAGTGGGGTTAGTTGCTAACATGTAGCATCAACTCCCTATTTCGTAGCTTCCATTTTCTCAAGTGTATATAAATATTAAATAAAAAGGTGATGCAGCCATAAGAGCTACACACCATTAAAACAATCCCCTGCAAGTTTCGTAGCTAGTGAGAAAAGGAAAAAAACGAGTGTTTACTTTTCCTTATTGCTAACATTTGGCATCAGAGCTTTGGTGATCAAAGCACTCAAGCATGGCACAAGGAGACAAAACTGAGGAAGGTTCAGTCACCCTGAAGTACCCTATGTTGACAAGATCCAACTACGCAGCCTGGGCCATAAAGATGGAGGTCTTTATGACAGCCCAAGGTGTATGGGATGCTGTGGAAGCACAAGGCGTAGTGGACAACAAGAGAGACAAGATGGCCTTAGCTGCCATTTATCAAGGCATAGGAGAAGACACCCTCCTCCAACTTGGGGCCAAGAAAACTGCGAAGGAGGCGTGGAACATGTTGAAAAACATGCATCTTGGTGCTGACAAGGTGAAGGAGGTGAGAACTCAAACTCTATGGAGGGAGTTTGAAGCCTTGAAGATGAAGGACTCAGAAAGTATTGATGACTTTTCTGGGAAACTAAACATCATTGTCACTCAGTTGAGGGGACTTGGGAACTCAGTGGAAGAAATCAAGGTGGTGAAGAAACTACTGCGGTCAACCTCATCAAAATTTTTGCAGATTGCCTCAACTATTGAGGAGTTTGGTGATCTGCCAAACAAGACAATTGATGAAATCATAGGATCACTCAAAGCACATGAAGAAAGGCTACATGGCTTTGGTGACAAAGATGAGACTGTCCTCTTGACACAGGCTGAGTGGAAGGCCATAGAGGAAGCAAAGGTCTCCAAGAAGCCCCCTAGAGATCAAGGGAATACTAGGGGAGGAAGGGGTCGTGGCCGTGGTCGTGGCAGAGGAAGAGGAAGAGGCAGAGGAGATTTCATACCCTCAGGAGATGAGGGAGGTTCAGGTGTGCAGAAGAGAAAGTTTGACAAAACCAAGATCAAGTGCTATGCTTGTGGGAAAATGGGGCATTTTGCAAGTGAATGCCAGTCAGAAGGGAAGGAAGAGAAGGTTCATCTGACTGAACAACAAGGAGAAGAGGAAGAAACCTCCTTGTTGATGGTAGAGACATGTGAAACTGGGAGGTCACAGCTTGAAATGCAATCATTTGCAATGCTACATGAGGAAAGTAACAGGTCAAGGGACATGATGAGTGAAGAATGCACATGGTACCTAGACACTGGAGCAAGCAATCATATGTCAGGAGACATGAAATGGTTCTCAGAACTTGATCAATCCATCAAAGGAAAGGTCAGGTTTGGGGATGGCTCAGTTGCAGAGATATGTGGTCAGGGCTCTATGCTTCTGAAATGCAAGAATGAGGAGCATTTGACACTGACTGGGGTCTACTATATACCAAAACTTAGGAGTAATATCCTGAGTATTGGACAACTAGATGAAGGAGGCAGCCACACTATCATAGAAGGAGGATGTCTCAAGGTGTATGACAAGGGGAGACTGATTGTTAAGGTAAACAGACAATCAAATAGACTATATGTGGCAAAATTTCATCTAGCAAAGAAGGTATGCCTTCTGGCAAACATCAATGATGAAGGATGGCTATGGCATGCAAGGTATGGTCATTTGAATTTTCACTCCCTAAGGAATATGCAGATCCATGGTATGGTGGAAGGACTGGCCAAGATTGATCAGGTGAACCAAGTGTGTGATGGATGTGTTGTAGGCAAGCAACACAGGAGTTCATTTCCAAAACACTCATCATTCAGGGCAAGGAAACAACTGGAACTAGTTCATGGAGATATTTGTGGCCCAATCTCACCAAGAACATATGGAGGAAACAGGTATTTCATGCTGCTAGTTGATGATTTTTCAAGGTTCATGTGGGTTTTCTTATTAAAAGGTAAAGATGAAGCATTCGGTGTCTTTAAGAAGTTCAAAGCATGTGTTGAAATTGAAACTGAAACAAAGATAAAGTGTTTAAGAACTGACAGAGGGGGTGAGTTCTTGTCAAAAATTTTTAAAGAGTTCTGTGAGATGGAAGGTGTGAAAAGGCTTTATACTGCACCCTACTCACCCCAACAAAATGGGGTAGTAGAGAGGCGAAATCAAACTGTGATGGAGATGGCAAGAAGTATGATGAAAAGTAAGAAAGTGCCTGCACAGTATTGGGGAGAAGCTGTCAAAACTGCAGTATACATCCTGAACAGATCTCAAACTAAAGGAGTGGAGGGAATGACTCCATACCAGGCTTGGCATGGAAAAGTTCCTAAGGTATATCACCTTAAGGTGTTTGGATGTATTGCTCATGCAAAGATTGTCACACCACATCCACTAAAGCTAGCAGATAGGAGCATTACAACTGTATTGCTTGGATATGAAGAAGGTTCTAAGGCATACAGACTCTTAGAACCAACTGAAAGAAAGATAATAGTGAGCAGAGATGTGATATTTGAAGAGGGAAGGAGCTGGAGTTGGGGAGAAAATGAAGAACAAAATCCTGAAGGAGGAAACTTTACTGTGACTTTCACTAGTAAGGAGAGTGATGGAAGCTCAAGGCTGCATTCAACATTCACCTCAGCTCAGTCATCTCCAACAATGTCCCAGAGCTCAAGTTTTTCAAGCTTGGATTCAGAAAGTCCTAGAAGGTACAGATCTCTGCAAGAAATATATGATGCAACCAGGCAGGTGGAAGAAGAAGTTGGGCTGTGTTTCCTTTCACTAGAAGAGCCAACCACTTACAAAGAAGCCTCTCAGGTTGGGGAATGGAGACAGGCTATGGAGCAAGAAATCAGATCCATAAAAAGGAATGGAACCTGGGAGCTGGCAGAGTTACCTAAAGATCACAAGGCAATTGGGGTGAAGTGGGTATACAAACTGAAGAAGAGTCCACAGGGTGAGATCATCAAGCACAAGGCAAGGTTAGTAGCAAAGGGTTATGTACAAAAGCATGGTGTAGACTACAATGAAGTTTTTGCACCTGTAGCAAGGATTGAAACAGTCAGGTTGTTACTAGCCTATGCAGCTCAAAGGGGGTGGCAGGTTCATCACATGGATGTGAAAACCGCATTCCTAAATGGAGAATTAGAAGAAGAAGTGTACGTTTCACAGCCTGAGGGTTTTGTTGATGAAAAATATCCACACAAAGTCCTGAAACTGAAGAAGGCTTTGTATGGGTTAAAACAGGCACCCAGGGCCTGGAATTTCAAGCTAGACCAATGTTTGAAATCTCTAGGTTTCACAAGGTGTCCTCATGAACATGCTGTGTACAAGAAAGAAAGAAAAGAAGACATTCTGATACTTGGAGTATATGTGGATGATCTCATCCTAACAGGTTCAAATAATGAATGCATTAGCCAGTTCAAAGAAAAGATGAAGCTGAACTTTGAGATGAGTGATCTTGGACCTCTAAGCTACTATCTAGGCATAGAGGTGAGACAAACTGAAGACTCAATCTTACTATGTCAGTCAGGCTATGCAAGGGCTATATTGGAGAAGTTAGGAATGGGGAAGTGCAACCCATGCCAAATTCCAATGGAGCCAAGAACTAAGATGAGTAAAAATGAAAGTGGTGATCCACCTGTTGATGAGACAATGTATAGGAGTGTAATTGGGAGTTTAAGATACCTAGTGCACACACGTCCAGACCTGACATATTCAGTGGGAGTAATGAGCAGATACATGGAGGCTCCTACAGTAACACACATGGCAGCAGTCAAACAAATCCTAAGGTATGTAAGGGGTACTTTAAATTTGGGATGTATTTTCAAACGGGGACAAGTCAAGGAAGACCTTGTGGGCTATTGTGATAGTGATATGGCAGGAGATATAGATGATAGAAAGAGCACATCTGGAGTCATGTATTTCCTAGGTGAGAAGCCTATCACTTGGACATCACAAAAACAGAAAGTGGTAGCTTTGTCCTCATGTGAAGCTGAGTACATAGCTTCCACTGCAGGAGCATGCCAAGGCATTTGGCTTGGAAGAATGTTGAGCTACTTGAAAGGAGGAAACAAAGAAAAGACAGCCCTTTATGTAGACAACAAATCAGCAATAGCTCTTGCAAAGAATCCAGTATACCATGATAGGACAAAGCATATCGATACTAGATATCACTTCATTCGAGAATGTGTTCAGAATGGTGATATTGGGATTGAGTATGTCAAGACTGAAGATCAACTGGCGGACATATTGACAAAACCTCTTCCTAAACAAAGGTTCATTGAAATACGGGAGAAGATTGGAATGAAGAATGCCAAGTGAACAAGTTTAGGGGAGTGATTGATAGTTTATTTAAACTTGTTTTATGTAAAACATGCTTGCATGGCATGTTAGTTTATTCATGTTCGTAGAATTACATAAAATAAAGTAGCTAGAATATTAATAGGAGGTAGTTAGAGTTTTCTTTTGACTTGGTAAATAAGAGGTGTGGGTGTGCACCTTCTTAGTGGGGTTAGTTGCTAACATGTAGCATCAACTCCCTATTTCGTAGCTTCCATTTTCTCAAGTGTATATAAATATTAAATAAAAAGGTGATGCAGCCATAAGAGCTACACACCATTAAAACAATCCCCTGCAAGTTTCGTAGCTAGTGAGAAAAGGAAAAAAACGAGTGTTTACTTTTCCTTATTGCTAACAATATATTCCCTGGCCTTGATTTATACATATAAATATTCTTGAAATTTAGCAAGTGTTGAACTTACGTACGATCCGAATTGCATGGTTACGTACGTTTTAGGTCACCTAGTCCCTCAACTCGCTACAAAAGTACTCGAGTACAACACAAAACCACATGTGAGACCGATCAAACTCAAAGCCATTGCAGTGAGTTTCTCTTCCACGCAATATATGCATCCTTTTATTTTGTTTTATTTTACTACGTACTCCCTCCGTAACAAAAAAATCTTCTCACTTTTCTTTTTCATCCGTAACAAAAAAATCTTCTCATTTCTAAATCTTCTCATCATACCCTCAATAATTCTTAAAATAATACACTATTACAACTACTTTTTTTGGATTTATTCTACATTCCATCACATTATTCCACTATCTTCCCATCATACCCTCAATAATTCATATCCTCTTTCACTATTCTTAAACTACCTACTTTTGAAATGGGAAGGTTGTTATGTTACGGAGGTAGTATATACAAAGTACTTCATTATATAAATAAATAGCTAGAGTAATAATGCATGCTATTTCATTATTACTCCCTCCGTCCCATAAAATAGTTTACACAAGGATTTGTATCGGAGTTTAAGAAAGTGGGAATAAAGTGGAAATGTATGGTTGTGGTTGATGAGTAAGAAAAAGATAAATGAATAGTTGCCACACAAAACTTTTCAAAAATGGAAATGAGAACTATTTTTTGGAACAACTCAAAAAAGAAATTGGGAACTATTTTGCGGGACGGAGGGAGTATATTAGTATTACTACCTCTGTCCCTTTTCATTTAGTCATTTTTTGACTTTTCCAGTCAAAAATAATAAACTTTGATCCATTATTTTACCTAATAATATACTTATGTGAAACTTAATAAATTTACACTTTTATGATACTCCCTCTGTCCCGCTAAGATTGTCTCAGTTCCTATTCACTTGGTCAACACAAATCACTCTTAATCTCTTACTTCATGTATGGTATCAAATTTTTGTCAAATTTGATTGTTTCTGCGACTTTGTAAAGCTTTTAATGTAGTTTATGAATATGTATGTTTTTTTTAAAATAATTTGAGTGCGGAAAGGGATCTGTTTGCTGAAAAATAACTTTTGAAAAAGTCATCACCATTTAATTTGGAAATTATTGAACGGTTTTTTTCTAAAAATAATATCGCCGGTCAAATGTAGATTTCGCTGCATTTTCAGTATTTTTTAACAAAAAGCAACACTATTTAGCCAACACTATTTTGACCAATATGATCATGTATAAATATATAATCGATCAAAAGATAACATTATTACTTGAAAAATAGTGTTGGCTAAATAAAAAGAGACGGAGGGAGTATGACATACAGAGAAATTTTCTTCTCAAGCCGTCCTGACCGAAACCCCGTCCCATCCGGCCGCCTCCACTTGAGGTGCTTTCGAGTGGATGGAACTTTTTGATGCAATTTTGTGAGCATGTTAGTCATCAAAAAAGTTGATTATTTCAGCAAAAATTAACCTTAAAATTCAATCTCAAAGTCAATAAAATAAATTATTGAAAAACATTGAATTTTGATATATATACTTCCCCCGTTCTGTTTTAGTTGCAACATTCCTTTTTTCACGTTTGTCAACGCACAACTTTGATCGTCATTATATTTAATTATGTATTAGTAAAAAATGATTACAAATCAGATTATGAAACTTAATAATTAGACGAATTCAACCATATTTTTCAAAAATAATAATTCACATTAATTCATAAATAAAATGTAGTCAAAGTAGAGGACATAAATAGTGTATAAATTGCAATGTTGCAACTAATGCGATACAGAAGATAGTATTAGCGTAGTGTTTTTTAATAATTTATTTAACTCAATTTCCGATTGAAATTTAATGTGACAAGAAATTTTGTAAGCATAATCTACATTTCATGAAGAACATAATTAAAAACTTTTATAAAAAAAATTCATGGGGAAGCACCTAAATTGTTCCGGCTAGGACGTCATGTGAAGAAACTAAAATTCCACGCATACATTCATATATACAGCTGCATGCATGCATGTTCGTCAATTACTTAGTATTATTAAAATGAGAGATTTTCCTTAAATGGCTTTTTTTTTTCCAAAATAGGACCAATTAGTCAAAACATTCTTAAATAGAACTTTTTATGTGTGATTCGACCAAAATACCCCCACAACTGCCCCTGGACTACTGCCTGCCGCCGACCACCTACGGCCGCTGTCGGACCACCGCCGCCAGAGCTCCGGCCGCCGCCGCCGGAAACTTCATAATTTTTTTTTCTGGCGGTCTGCCAACGTTTCTGCCTCCGCCGGAGTTCGCCGCCTCCGCCGGAATCCGCCACCACCGGCCTGCCCCCGCTACCAACAGACTACCTTGGTTGTGCAAGAGAACTAGGGCGGGCAATTAATTGGGTTAATTAATTGTCGGAGTTCGTCGCGCGCCGCCGACCTCTGCCGGAGTGCTGCCGCCACCACGGACTGCCCCGCCACCGACGGACTGCCTTGGTTGTGCAAGGAAACTAGGGGGGCAATTATTTAGATCAATTAATTAATTAAATAGAATTAGGGGTAAAAATGGTAAGGTTATTCCTATTTAGGGAAAAGCATGCGTGTGGTCCGAAAAAAGCAAGAGTTTTGGCAGGCGGCAGGCGGCAGGCAGCAGTGGGGGTATTTTGGTCCAATTACACATAAAAATCCTATTTAAGAATGGTCAAACTAATTTGGGTAAATCTCCCAAATTAAAGATGATGTATATATTTGTGGCATGGATGCAGATTGGAAACCCATTTCTTGACATCCGGATAAGTCTAAGTGGGGTTGAAAACATGTGGCATCGGGGGATGATTTCGGAGGAGATGGTGAGCATGCAGAAGAGTGTTTGTAGCATGGCAAGGTACTATACTGAGTACGCGAGTGGGAAGAGGACTAAAGCCTGCCATGATATGATGCTCAAGTTATTACAGGAAAATGGGGATGAGCTTGACGTTGACGATATGCTCATGCCAATATGTCTCACCACTGATGATAATTCTTCTTCCTCACCTCAACATTATTATGTACGTACGCACGTCGATCACCTCCCCATCCATATACTGCATGCATACTTATTAACTCTTTCACTTGTATATTCCACCCACTTTCAAGGACCTACCTAGCTAGCACGTAGTATATTTATACAGTTTATGCAGCATTGAATTGGGTATATATATAGCTAGTACGCGTGTGCATCTTATCTGGAATATGCTCAAAGTAGTCATAAGATTTTTTGGCACGTCAAATCCATGCCATAATCCAAATCTAGCATGTGGTGTATGTAACCCTCTAATTTTTTTTTTCTAAAACGTGATAAAAAGTAAAAAAAAAAAAGGGGGGGGGGGGGGTAATAGTTAGAATTTTTATACTATCGTATGAATTACGAATATTAAATAAGAGAGAATAGTGTATGACGTTAAGAGATAGATAAAAAATGCGGACAGACTTCCACCATCCCAACCCACTATTATCCCTATATATCGACTAAAGGGTCAAATAGGTCCTTGAACTAACTTAAAGTGTTCAATTAGCCCCTTAATTATATAGAATGTTAGGCCCGGTCATCGTCAATTGAGGCGATTCCCGATGGAATTTTTTGATGAAGTTTTTTGAGCATCTTCTTCATTAAGTATAGTTTACGCATACCAAATTTCTGCTAAAAATTCAATCGGGAAGGCAATCAAATGATTTTTTGAAGATAACTACGTAGTTAAACAGCGTAGTACATTTCGGAAAATCATTTGACTGCCTTCCCGATTTAATTTTTAGCTGAAATTTGATATGGGTAAACTAGACTTAATGAAGAAGATGCTCAAAAAATTTCATCAAAAAATTCCAACGGAAACCTCTCCAATTGGCGATGGCCAGGCTGAACCTCCTATATAAGGGGGCTAATTGAACACTTTAAGTTAGTTCAATGACCTATTTGACTTTTTAGCCCTATATATCTATACTACGTGTAACTTCTTATGACGACCTTATTCCATTTTGCCATAGATTTGGAAGTATACCTCATATATAAATATAGGCGATGATGATCCGAATTCTAGTAAGAATCAAAATTTAAAAGAGCTTTTTTAAATATTACGTACAGTACAAAATAAAACTTATTAACAAAATTATGATTAAAAAAAAGAGAACATAATTTATGATTACTAGAGTTTACTATTATAATCAGGAAGACTACATGTTTTGGTCTACCATCTCTCTTCGTAGAGTGTAATACTTTGTTTTAATTAACTATTCACACTTATTTAATTGTATTGTATGTATTGTTGCTCAGTTAAATGCATTAACCATCTCACATCATGTTTAGTCTCAACCATTCATAGTTTTTTTATTTTCTAATTATGTTTGACATACAAATTGAAGATATTTCTCTTCATCAATTATACGAAGACGTACGTACTATATATATCTTGCTATTGGTATCTCTCGTATATGTGTGCATAAAATACATTATGATTACACTTTCTGTATAAA